TTAAATTAAAAGTGCGCAATAGGTCTACACTACTTTAGAATTCATTATTAAATTTTGCGCATAACTATGCGATTAATCGGTGGTGGTAGGAGTATTGAGATCCTTTACTTGAGAAAAAGTAGCAATGCCACAGTTTGAAATTAAGTAAAAGTTTGTAAGCAGTATCTGCAAAATACACAGTGAGTAAAAGTACTCACTATGCAAAAAATAAATAGCTGGAAATGTAGGATCATTTCCTCCATAAAGGAACACTTATCATTCACTGGACAGGAAAGAACATGAGGAAGAAAAGAAGAAAAAATATAATCTGAAAAGTAACAGGCAACTATAGCTGTCAGACAAATGTAGCGGAGTAGCCTACTAAGTACAATATTTGGCTGTGATATTTGTACTTTAGTACTATACTTAAGAGCCATTGTTGCTTCTGAAGTTAAGAACCACTAAGAAATCACCACATCCAACACTCCAGCATTCTTTTTTTTTAGACTTAAAAAAAGATAAAAGCTGGACCTGCTCAAGCTGTTGTCATGAGTGTTACACCAGTTGAAAGAGATCAGGCGGTGTGTCTTGTCTTGTAAGGGGAGCATCTTTCACTCAGCTGTAGAGGTCATGTGGTACAACCAAAAACAGAGAGTAAATGGAGAGATGGTTCACATGCAACGTTCTTAAAACTACCCCTTCAAAAACGGTAACTATATTCTTTCTTCCTATTGAGGTGTTTAAGTCAGGATCTTTTACTCATGTTTTCTTATTCTAATTAATAACCAGAATTGCGAAAACCGTGCGTGATTGTTTAGAGATGGAGGGTGCACTCTTTTAATGAATATTAGATTTCATTACAGTCATTTGAATACAGTACGGTGAAAAACATTTTGCCCAACCTGTAAGCTTCTAAGCTTCTTATTGGCAAACTAAGGTTGAAAACACAAGGTAAAGACAACTGTTCCAAAACAAGCCTCCATCTGCCAACTCATTGCATGAGTTGTTTTATCTCATTTTTCTCCCGCCTGACGCAATTACACAGCATCCTCTACAGCAATCAGAAAACTGATACTATTATTTTGTTTCTATTATATGTGGCTGTGATATTGTATCTGCAAAAAGCCAATACTGATGGAGTACATTTGACTCACACACACATATATTAGAATTACAATATGGAAAATAATGTTAACAGAATTACGGATAGATTGTAAGACCTATGAAGAATGGATCTGGGGAGACGTTAAGCAACTTCAGGTGTCATTCACATGAGTAGGAGAAAGGAGCCCAGATGGAGAGTGAGAGTGAGAGGGAGAGAGAGAGGAACAAGAGGAGAGGCTGAATTTCCTGGAGGACAAACATCCAGATTCAAACATCTGGAATAAAACTCACACACAGTCAGGTCTCAGTCTGGACTGATTCCTCAGTGCATGGGAAACAATGTTGCAGAATCAAGTTTTCAAGGTTATCCCAGCAACTAAATGCAGCTAGTCTGAGATAGTATCCTGTCTTTGCAGCCCACAATGTATGAGGAGAAACATTTGCTTGGGTATTTCCGTGTTGATGAGCATGCATGATTGGTAACTCTGACTTTACCTCTGATGGCCTCATTACTTTTCTGGAAAATTGCATTTCACAAATTTCACAATCTCTGTTCCATTGTATTACTCACATGCCACTTAACACTCATCGCAGGTTTTGCGGGCAGACACTGTGACAAGATATTCATTTCAAGAATATCTTGGTAATTAAAACATCCACTACACAGCTGCTCTCTGTGTGCACTGGAGGGAGATAATCTTCTTAGGCTTTATGAGGAATGTTATCAGACACAGGACCCTGCAGCAACGGTGATATAAATCTAAAGAAGCGAGAGAGTGGAGCTCATGTGGGCATGAAGATGACACATCAGTGGGAAAGCTTTTATGCTGATTTTCACCTCCACAGTCATGTGTTTATAAGCTGCCAGCTGAAGGAGTCTAAGATCTATCTGGTATCTGTAAGTGTTGATATCGTGGATATAAGACATTGTGCTCCAGTACTGTGGGCTTGACATTCAGCTTAATCATTGCAATTAGAAAAAGTTGTGTAAGAAGATTTAGCCTGGTCCACATTATAATTTTTTTTGTCCTTAATGGCGGCATCTCCTTGTCTGTTTTCCTTATTTCCTCGTCTCGTTTTATTACACAAGCTGTTTTCAGCCTCCTCATACATACTTCCTTATCACATGATCTGAGACACTTCTGCTTAGCCTTACTGTGGGAAAGAAAAGGGATAACAAGCAACAAAGGTGACAAGCTTCATTATATTCTTCGCTGTCGACGGCAGCGTGCAGGAGATCCACCTTAGGGCTGGAAAACACTTCTCACACAAGTGAATATGCACAGGTGACATTTGCGTTCCATTTTAAACACACCTCCAGACAGGAACTTGGACCAACCAGTCAGCGTATTTGACATGCAGGGCCACACAATTCATTGTTGAGATTTGGGAGTTGTGTTCGTTGGCTCCTCTGGGCCTCTGCAATTTATGATTACCCATAACACTACCTTCTCTGTGTAGATCTGCAGAAATGTAATTCCAAGCCTTCAGCTGGTAGATGACTTATTGCAGGAATACCTTTTTAAACAGAAAAAAGGTGCTTGTTGTCCAAATTCTGTTTAACTTGAGAAGAACTGTTTTCTGTTGTAATGCAGAAAAGCTCCATTTCCACTGCAAGTTCTTCATCCTTCAGATTCTGCCATTGTTTCTACCTTTGTGCTGAACAGACTTGAACAGACTTTACAGAGCTGCAGTAAGTGTGTGTCTCCTTGTTTTCAAATGTATTTCTATTTCAGGCAAGTTGGACTTCATTGTTAGTATCCTGCTGCCTTAAACCCACTGAGCGACCAGAGCGCCCACGCTGCCTCATTGCTAGTTACTAAACCTGTCTGAAACATTGTCTTGCTCTCTCTTTCTCTCTCCATCTCTTGCTGATCCTCCTTCCTCTTTCCATTCTTCTTCCTACTCTTAAGATTCCTCGGGACCTCCTCTGCTCTCATTAATTTAAGCCGAGCTGATCTGAGCGAGGCTGGGGCAAGTTTGTGTGTGTGTGTGGGGGGGTTCCCTTCCCTTCCCTTCCCTTTCTGCCAGAGATTCCCCATGCTTTTCTAATGGCGTATCAGCAGCTGTCAGTGGGCCCTGCACTGCGTCAGCCACTTAAATTGGCCTGCATGGCTGTGGTGTGCAAAGCGCTCAGCAGAATTGAGTCAACCCCCCCACCCCACCCCAACACACACACACACCCCTAACTCCCCCACCAACCTTTTTCTATATCATTAGTGGAATGCTCCCTTTCCCCCGAGCCGCTGTCATATGGGGATATTCCAACAAGCGGGGAGTAGGTGAGGAGAGGAATGAGTCACACGCCAGCGCCCATGTATTTTTTTGGGGATGGGATTTGTTTGCAGTTTGCAGGGGAAGAGAGGGTTGCAGGGAAATTCTGTTGTCTTTTGTCTCGTGGAAACAGCCCTTGCTGCTATTTTTAAGAAAAAAGAACCATGACAACTGAATTAATTTCTTATTGTAAACCAAACAAACCTAATAGCGTCATGCTTCTACAGTGAATGTATAATCAATGAGTTCACCCTTGTACTGTAATTAGGGTTACATTTTCTGATGGTCACACAGTACACTATGACTAAAAAAATATTAGTGTGTCTTTCACATGTAGACTACCATTCAATTCCTCTGTGCTTTATGTTACTGTTAAAAGGAATTTCCTACAGTGAAAGGAAGACAATAGTCCTCAGTGCCCCCGACTGTTATGGAGTAAAAGTTTTGTCTTTTATTGCACAGTTTCAATCAAATTACTGTAGTCTACATGCTCATGCAGCTAAATCCACACGTTGGAAACAACATTCTGTATTATTATTTGAGATTTTAGAGATTTATTGTATTGTTTGTGTAGAGTGTGCCCTCCATTGAATTTTTCTCTCGGGACGGATCAGTACTGCCGTATCGATACTTTGATACTCACAAGCTACTCATTTGGTATCGATTACTTAAAAAAATGCAATAAAATTTTTTAAAATACAAAACGTTTTTAGTTATGTTGTGCCAATAAACAGCCTTTTTGACGCAAGAACCGTGCTCTTCCTTTTAAAAAAAATCTTTATTTCAAACTGTGGACAAACATCGTATCAAAAGAAAACATCTGAATCACATCCAGATGAAGCATTGGGGAAAGCATTGTCAAGCAGCTGCACAGTTGCACACTTCTGTATCAAACGTGTGGGAGATAGGTAGAAAGTACTTTTCACTTGTAGATAAAAATACAAGAAGGTGTAGGCTATTTTTATTTACGAGGTTTTAGGACTTGTTGTCAGATTAACCTGTTAGAGTAGGGGAGGCTTCCTACGTGCCACTCCAAGCCAAAGGTCTACAGGTCATTTGAACCAATCACCTCAGCAGGGGATCTCACTGATGGGTTTCCTCCCTCTACTTGAAGGACTCTTTAGTTGGTTGGTGCAATGCCCAGTGTAAAAATGTAAAAATGTACCAAGAGCCCTGACATCCCTTGTTATGCATGCCTGTTATTGTGCATGTACCCCATTCTGTGTTTATGTATCAGAAGCAGAAGTGGATGTCAGGAGGCATTAGGTTCCCATGATATTCCCATTTTGCCCCATGGCCCAAAGCAAATGTTTTTTAATTTGTTGCTGGTACTAAGTATGAAAATGTTATTTAACTATACTCTGCAAAACAGAATTAATTGTTCCTTCAGCTACATATTCAACATCTTTTAAAGGAAGTCTAACCCTTAATAATTTTTGTTCTGTGATTTTTTTCTCTGTGTAGTTCTGTAAGTCTGGCAACAACTGTCAATTGAACAGATTATCCAACGAAGGTTAAAATCAAGGGCAACTGGACTTGGTTGAAGATACTGGAATTTCCAGTATCTTGGATAACTATGACCTGGATGACTGAGAATCTTCACAGACAATTGAACAGATTGTTTGGATGTTTGTTTTTTTCAGGCTGGCTGCAGCATCATGTCCTCTGCTCAAAGTGGGGATATATCCGGCTACCATCTGAGTGGTGAGTGGACAACACTGGATGTCACAGACAGTTACTACATATTGCTTTACTGTTTTTTTTTGCATGGGTATCCTTGTGTGCAAGTACGTGGATCAGACTATGAGAGACGAGGCTGTCTGTAGATTTTCATTCAGTGGTATGCATTTTTGTGTGTGTGTTGCAAGGTCTATTTGACAGCTATTGGAACCTTTATTCACATGTTTTACAACACCTTCAACCTTGTCTCCTGCTGAAGGCAGCCAGTGTTACAAAACATTTTAACTGTGCCCTATAATTTGCTTATCTGTTGTGTTAAAAAGTAGAGATAAACCTGTCAAAGTCCTCCCACAGAAGCAGTTCATCTTGACAAATCCAGTTTGTCACAGGCACATAACCCCTCTCGACATGCGCAACATGTGATGCTCTGACGTTTAATTCAGAGTGGCTTGTCAATTTGTCTGTCCCATTTTGTCCCAAACTGTTATCTAATTAACATAATACGTTATGCATCCTAAAGTCTCCCAATGACAACTCAATGCTCAGTGCTAAATTACAAGGCCTAAAACAGTGGCTGATTAACTTGTTAACACTCTTACTGGTCATAAAATAAAAACTGTCGGCTCAGGGAATGTGACAAGGAGGGATTCCACGCAAGATACTTTGTTAAAAGATGTATAATTAATTAAACTAATGTAAACCAAATTAACAATTAGGTGTGGAAATCAGCAATATCAACAATGTAAGCAATGCGTGGATGTGGGGCAAATGTGCTGTGTAGATGTTGAGGAGCGAAAGAAGATGCCACAGAATGGATGTAAGCTGTACAAAGGGAGTGACTGGACTGAATACATGGGCCAGTTTTTATAGTCCAAAGGCTCAGGTGAGTTCAATCAGCTTAACTGAGACACATTAGTTCAATCATTGTCGTTGGTTTCACTCAAATATTACACTTTCACCGGTGATCAAACTCCTCCATCAAATATAGACAGTTCTGAGGCCAAACTTTCTTCTACCATTGATGAAATGAAAGTTTAAGCATCGTTTTTGTTTGTCTGTTTCAGTGGTGCGTAACCCGCCTGGCTGGGAGGCGGGGCTTTACCTGGTTGGCTTCCTCGTGCTGCTGTGTTTGGCCGGGCTCAACATCTGGAAGCTGTGGAAATCTGGAACCTTCCCCGCGCCATCCCCCTTCCCCAACTTTGACTATCGATATCTGCAGGAAAAATATGGAACCTCTTTCTCAGAAGTCAGACAAAAGGTATATTTTCATTTCATGCTACTGACATGTAAAATATCAGTATTGTGCACAAAATATTTATAACTCTAAAACTTGCCCATAAGACAGTGAGGGAGAGGTTTTGTGAAGTTGAAGTTGAAATTCAGCAATCAGTCTTTGCTTGGAGCAAGTGATGAGCAATCATGTGGCGCGGAGGGTTGAGAGTCTGCCGGTTTTCTTTCCAATTGAAGACAACAGCAGCTGATTTCAAAGTAAAGTTTCCTGTGGCTGGAGGTTTTTTGTTAATTCACTTGTCAGCTTTTAGTTCGACCTTCAGAGTCTTTGGTCTCAATGGCACATTACTGAAAGTCTCTACCTTAAAAGATACTTCTGGTTTATTAGAATTTGGGTCTTAATTTTGTAATTGTGGCCTTCATATGTATTGGTTATGATAACAAGTAACCTAACCAAAGTCAATTCTGAGATCTGGAGGACAATTTGAGACATTTGGGTAATAAATTCATTGATCAACTTTTTTTTCACTTCCAAATATTTTTGACTAACCTGATCTTCTGACTGCTTGTGTTTCTTGCCCATTCAGATTCCTTGTTAGCAACTTTGCCTTGTTTCCAGATTTAAGCTGTTACAATTGTACTTGGAGAAAAATGAGTTGAACAGAGCTGAGTTAAAGTTTGTTTTTTTGGTTCACTGCTCTCACTGCAGGCAGCTGTTTTCAGCTAAAAAGTGACTGTACACTACCTGCACGCCACCAAACAGCTGACAGACCCAGTTAGAGACTAGCTGTTGAACGTTGTGGAGCATTTAGCATCTTAAGAGCCAGAACTGAACAGAGCAAAAACAGAGTGAATATTGGACTTATTTTTATAAGGTGGCCACAAACATGACTCCAAATGAATGATAACGTTGCTCTGTATCTGCTTGTTGTGTAAATAAGCAACTGTTTTTGCTTAAAAGTTCATTATATTAACTCGAAAGGTGATCATACTGTATGTCAATCATCCATTTGTCCTATGTTATTCATTTGTTAGGTAACCAAAGGCGGTGATGATCTTAATTTTGTCTCATTACAGACTTACTGCCTCTGAGTAAAAAGTGTTGCATGTGGCTTGAATGACACGCACCGTGACTTTAGATGAACTTAGGTAATCACATGTATAGACATGTATAAAAATGTCTCTAGGTTTAGGAAGGTTAAATATCCCACACAGAATTGAACAGATTTGGTGTTGGCGTTGCATGTGTTGTACTGTATCTCCTCTGCCAAGTCTCAATAAACCATAAAGTGTAAGTCTTCATCCGCCTCCAAAACTGCTTTGTCACACCTGAACCTGGCTCACTTTATTTCCACAACAGTTAGAAACTTGCCTTGGTGAGCTCACAGTGCAAGACAGAGAGAACAACATTAAATACAGTTGATATTGATAAAAAATTAGATTAGAGATTGAAGAAGAATGAAGCTGATTTGACGATTAAACTTTCAAATTACCTGCCACATTTTCTGGCTTTTGGAAAAATTATGTTTCTTTGCTCATTACTAAAACTCATTTTATTATTTTGCCATGGAATACTATATTTGATTGTGTGTGAAGTGTAAAATAAATCTGAAAACCTTTGGTTGTACTGTGTTTTGACACAGAACAAACAATGGAGTTCTTCCTGTAGTTTCAAACAATTAACTCTGAGGCAGATTTTTATTTTTCAATCTCAGTACCTTTAAAATATTCTTGATCCCTTACTTGACTCCTCCCTGAAGCGAGTGGCTGCCAACAACCACCGGCGGACCTCCACCACCTCCAGCCGCAAACCCAGCCTGGCCCTCGGCGACACCCCGGATGGCTTCAGGGACCTGGGCCATTTGGAGCTGATGAGCAGGGAGCTGGACCCAACCGGCATGGCCCAGCTTAACCGATCCATCTCCACCGACTCACTCAGCTCAATCTCCTCCATCGCCAACAACTTCGGCCACGACTTCACAGTCGGCCAGTTGGAAGTGACACTAGAGTTTGAGCCATCAAGGCACCCGGGCCAGGGAACAGGAATGCTGCACCTCAGTCTGCACCAGGGAAAAGACCTGCTGGAGAGGGAGGAGGGAGACTTCCCTGGCTGCTTCATCAGAGTCTCACTGGGGCCAGAGGAGCTCAATGTGGGAGTCACAAGGGTAAGGAAGCTGTTGTGTTATCGTCTTTCTGTGCTTATAATATGTCTTCACAAAAGAAATAAGACAGAAAGGAAAAACCAGTGAAGTGGCAAGATGTGTTTCACTAGGACATGAATGTAAAAGCGTGACCTCGGAAATAGTAAAATTATAAGTGACGCTTACATTCTCAGTCACACCTTGTGGTCTGATCATGATGTGATTTTTTTCAGAACTGGTTTTAAGTTTAGATTGGACTTTGCACCTGGTGGACCGACAGTGTCTCTCTGATAGTGATTAGAGGGTTATAATGAGAGGTTAGTTATGTAGAGATTAGGGAATGAATCACATACAGGTTCCTGGTGGAGTTTCTGATCACCAGTAATGTTACTGAGCAGTGCTTTTACAAGTGGGATCCCAATTTATAAGTCTCATGAATGTGCGCGAGGACACACATGCCTGCAGGTAATCTATAGGTAGTCCTAATGTAGCAAGAAATGTAGAGCCAGAAAATAGGCAGAGCTAGAAAGTTACCATTGTTGTTAAAAAGAAAGCATGTTTCAAAGTTCAAATAATCAGCTTTGCAAATGTTTTATAAGGAAGGAAAGACACCTTTGTTAGACCTCAAGGATACACACAATGTGTCATGGTGGACATCGGAACCAAGTTTTATGATAATCCATCTTATAGTTGTTGAGATGCTTCAGTCCAGGACCAAAGTGGTGAGCAGACCAACATACCGACATTGCCATCCCTAGAGCCACGCCGCTATCATTAGTTGATTGTTTGTCACACCAACAGTCCAAAACACAAAGGGTTTAAATTCACAGTGATAAAAAAAAACACACACACACTTTAGCACTATAGTATGTGAATGCATGTGCAAACATGGCTATACTTATGTTCATGATAAGTAAAGGCAGTGGAAACATATGATCGTTAAAGATGGGGCAGTTCCTCGTTAGCTCCCATTATTGTAAAAAAAATGGGACTGGAGACTTTCAGCATAACTGCCACTAGACTACTAATGGGAGCAGAGATTCTAGACTGAGGGAAAGAAAATGAAAGAAACCGCTTCTCGGATGGGTAATTAGCAGTTAAGCTGTGACGACTGAACTTGGGCAAAGGACTGAAGATAAAAGTTGCTCCTGGCGTTGTGGGAGAGCAGTGTGAGGCTGTGGCTTTTCTTGCTCAGGAGGCAGCTTTGGCTTGCTTGAACTGTGTTGAAGATTTTAGCCTTGGCTGAATTTTAGACAGAGACATTGAGGTCTGAGGCTTGATCGTGCAGCTTGACAAGCCAATCGTTTCCCGTCTGATGGAATGAGCCCATTTCATTTACTTGAACGGCGAGCCCCCTGGGAGCTGGATGTAGTCAGGAAGGTTGATTTCACTTCCTTTACCTTCATTAGGAGAAGATGTGACTGACTTTCACTTCACTCACTTTGAAATTTAACCTGTGACCTGTGTTTACCACCAATTTAGGTTATAATGATGATCATATGTGGATGAGGCATTTTTTAAGTTGCGACTTTTAGCAATCCTTACAATGACAAGTGAGTCCTTTTCAGTTCGCTCAGCTTAAAATGTTGATTAGGATCACAATATTATGAAGTGGAGTGGAAATTAGATGATATGGTTGGGTGATAAACCACTGGCCTTTTTTTTAACCATACTAACGCTGCAAACCAATAAGCAAGACAATGTGATGAAGCACATAGATTCTTCAGGTATTTCATTAATTTTTATAATAACTCAAAAACAGATATTTCTGTTTTTGTCCATAAATTTTTTCTCAATTAACATCCCGAAAAAAGTGTACATTGTGATACAATGTATGGAAGCCTATTTTACCAGAAAAAAAAAAATCTAAATTATTTGTCTTAAATCTCTCCTTAAAGACATTATTTTAGAATTGCATTACCTTTATGAGTTTTTTTTAATTCAGTGCTTTTACTGCATTTGTACTTACAGTTTCAGCTGTTAAATTGCTCTCTTTAAAAATATGAATTATTTGTATTTTATTGCACTATGACTCTCTTAACCTGAACCCTATAAAAATTGCTTTATAAATAAGGTAATTCTTTTTATTATTTATTTACCATATTTTAAATAGTAAATTACTATCTCATAATTGTGATTTACTATTATATTGTATTAAGTCAAATTTCTGTCGTTGTGTTTGACTTCGCATTAATATTTTTGTTTTTATCATACATATTGTACTTTTTTTCTTTTTCTGCCAGAAATGTGCTCTTCACATTCTACACTAAAACAATGTTATAAAAAGCTTGATTCTGATATGAACTGACCATTTCAGACAGGAAGAGAACAGGTCTATACATTCCTCCATCTGCTACACCTGCCACTTGCCTTCTGCTCTTAGCAAGACGTTGCCAGAAAAATCACTAATCCCTGCCTGGCTGTGAGTCATCGGCTCTGCGCCTTGTATGACTGGTATTGCACACTTTGTGCGGGCCAACAGGGACGACACACAAACTCACCAGGGCTTCCCTTACTTAAACATGCTGTTTTGTTGTATTAATGCATTCAGGCTGAGGCGTAATAATAATGGAGCCATAACTGATGCAGTGGCTTCAGTGGCTCCGTCTTTAATATCGAGGAGTAGTGAAGACCAAAGGAAATGCTGACATCAGCTCCACTCGCCCCGATGGTCAAGACCGCTTTTCTCTCTCTCCCTCTCTCTGTTTTCCTGTGCTTTCCTCTGGCTCCTCTTTTTGTCTCCAGCATGTCTTTGTTGTCACTGTTTTGTTTCACTTGTCTATCACTCCCTCTTTCATCCCAGTCTCCTCTCACCTCTTTTTCCCCCCACTTATTTGTTGTCACTGCTTCTTGCTTTTGTTTTGCCTCTAATGATGTGTATTCCAGTCTTTTCTCATTCTCCCATTCTTTGTCTACATATAACACACAGACTCAGACGTGCGCGCGCGCACACACACCAGCTCACTTTTATTGACTCATTTTCACCACACACATCACCCTTGTTATCCCCCAAGCAATAAGCCTAACAGTGCAGAGAGGTATTCTCATATTGTGCAAGAGTGCAGATCTGTGTGTTGGGCTGGTAGAAGGATACTGCCTGCTTTTGATGCTTATCTTAACGTAGATATTTACACAGGAGCAGCAGCTGCGGCAGGGCCTTGTCTGGATTCTGTGTGTGTTAGATGTATGGTTATGATGCTATTCAGCTGTTTGATGTTAGGTACAATCCAAGGTCGGCCCCACGGGCTGATTTGCAGACCGTGTGCTCTGAATTCACAATTATTGTATTGTATAGCAAGTTGTTTTATGATTAATCAAAAACAGCTCCTGGTGATCTTGCACAGCACATGGTTATGTTGTTTTATTCTGTTTCACTGTATCTGTATGAAAGGTACAGTGTTTATTCAAGATACATTTAGTAGAAATATTCCTTACTCACACTTCAAGAACAAACGCTGGTGTGAAAAAGGGCTATTAATAAATGCACACTCCTCTGCACGTTTACTAGTTGCCTGGTAACTTCTGACCACTTTGTAAACCCTTGTGTCAGCACGTGCTGTAGCATCTGATGATCTAAAAACTGCATTAGCCACAAGGCAAATGCTGATCACTTTGGCTGTGGCTGCAGAATCTCTTACGTTGATCTAAAGTGTGCTCTGTTGGCCAGGCCAAACTGCCTTCAGACGGTCTTTTTCATTGTAAAAGCAGTTTTGGTTGTCAAGAAAAGAAAGTGAATGGTGACTCATATTCTGGATCCACATGGTTATGAGGCGGGTTGCCCGAAAACACACACAAAAGGTTGTTTTCATGCCACGCAGATGTTTTTGCTCGTGTTTTTTTCCAGGAGGATACGAGTAAAAACATCTTGTAGCAGTAGAGTGAAAGAATGTGTTTGGAAATATGCAAACATTTCTATTATGTATACATGGTAGGGAAAGTGTCCGCTATGACCTTGTGCTCTTAAAGTTCCCAACAATGCAAACAACAAACATTTATCAGGTAACTTGGAAAAGCAAAAATGTTACCCCCTGTCTGCAGTGTCATCTAAAGTATGTCAGATATTCTTCGGATAAAATCACACATTTTGCATATATTGAGCTCAGTGCAGTTTTATGGCTTTGCAGTCTACTTTGAACAAGAAAGGGTTGGTGCAATTACAAAACTCATTTACCCAGATCATTTTGGTTTTGTTTGACAAGATTTGAAGAGATTTGATTAGATTTGATTATTGTCTTTACAATACAAATAGCACCAGTACAACAACTTTGGAGTTTGGCATCTAACAGAAATACTATAATAATATATCAATAGCAATGAGAGATGTACACAGAATGAACAGTAAGCCATTATGAATTATGCATGGTATGAATTGATTAACTTTGGTATTTACAGTCTGAACAGTTTAAAGACAGCCCATCTGTCTCTGAGATTTCCGGCTCTAACCTAATATAATGAAGGTGAATAGAATTTAGTTTGTGGTGCTAATAACAATGAAAAATTGCATTAAAAGATTTCCACAGCAACATGACTTTCCAGAGACAATGTTCCCATTACTATGGATAGTCCACAGCACACACTGGCTTGAAGTTTTATAGCTACTATTGCTTCAGTAGAGAGTTGTTCATAACAAAAGAGACTTCCATAATACATGTTATTGCAGCTTTTCTTCTACGTTTTAAAATGTTTTGTGCTGTAATTGAAAGAACACTTCTATATATTTCTGAAATTGCATCAACACATTGATTTTGGCCTATCCTGCTATAGATCTCCAAGTCTCTCTCTCTCTCCAGTTCTAAAAGCTGAGAATAACTTCTTTTAAAAAATCTGTATGAGGTCTGTATATGATGCTTTGGTAAGGGCTTTTAGAAAGTAAATGAATGTAAGCTAAGATAGACTATGGATCCACAAGGATCTAGGCTGCCTGTGTGGACCAGAGTTGGGTGAGTTATCATCAAAGAAATAGAAAGTGTTCGACCATGTTGTGTTTCATAGGTTGACTCTGTAGGTGAGCTAGTCAGGGAGAGGATGAAGAGCCTAACATGTGACAGTACACACTACATATTTTCTTAGTTAGAATATTGCCTTAAACTTACAATCATTGCAGACACCTCTGTGTTTATATAAACCATCAGTAACAGTCAACTTTGACATTGCTTTGACGTTACATTACCTGAGAGGTGGATGCTTTCATTTCTACATTTCTACTATCTTTTGTCTCTCACAGGTCCAGACGAATGCATTCACTGTGATTTTTGACGAGCACTACTCCATCCCCATGGACTTGTCCACGCTGGAGGAGTACAGCCTGCGTTTTGCGGCTTTCGGTATCGATGCTGACGAGAGAAACATCAGCGCGGGGGTAGCGGATCTCAAGCTGTCAGATCTGGACCTGACTATCAGGCCATTCAATGCCTGGCTCTACCTGCAAGATGTCAATAAGGTAAGCTACAATACTGTAATGTGTCATAGGGCTCAATTTGCAATACAGACAAATAATGCTATGATTCCACAGTTTGGGATTTTAGTCACATTTCCAGTGTGACATGTTCTTCCTCCTACTGTAAATTAAAGTTTCTAAATCCTGTATACACTTTAATGTGTTAGAAAGCATGGTGGTGTCTGAGAACCCCTGCTGGACGTTCAGCAAAAGTACATGTCATATTCAATAAATAATCTAATCAAAGTTTAGATGAGTGGATTGCCTGCAAAATGTTACACATAACTGATTAAAGAGTATTTGAAAAAATATGTTATTAGTAATGTAGTCAATTAAAATAAACACTGATACTGATATCATTGTTTTAATTCAGTTCACCAGGTGGGCCTATGTATGGTTGGTGGTTAAATAATCCAGCCATGAATTAAACTGACCACAAACAAATGTAAATAATTGATGTTTTTTAATTAATGTACTCGGCAGAAGAAATGTGTCCTCTGCCTCCAACAGGAAAGTGATGGAAAAAGTGATCCTTCACTTAAGTAATAGAGCAAATACCTAGTGTGAAAGTACTCAAATACAATTACACAGCACTTTCAACACACACTCATGACAAATAGGCTCTGCCATACTGAGTTGCTGCTGGCGCTGCAGTTACTCCCCCAATTTCTCGCTCTGGCAGACCAATAATTGCCAGTTGGCATAAAACACGTTACAACTAGTTTGCCAGTGTGAGTGTGTCGCCAGATTTAAAAACTCTTGTATAGTACGAATACACTTACCTGGCGGTGATAGAGTTAATCAGAATTGTGTTAACTTAATATATATGTAAAGTTCCAGCTTAAAGTAAAAGTACTTAAGTATCATCAGCAAAATATACTTAAAGTAGCAAAATAAAAGGGGACCATAACACATCCATCCATCCATTGCCCCCAACCGCTTATCCCGCATACAGGGTCGCGGGGGGGCTGGAGCCAATCCCAGCTGACATCGGACGAAAGGCGGGCTACACCCTGGACAGGTCGCCAGTCCATCGCAGGGCCACACATAGACAGACAAGCACTCACACTCACATCCACACCTAAGGACACACATTATTGTATATATAATAATATTAGATTGCAAATACTGATGCATCAATGTGTAAGCATCATTATACAGTTGTTTTAGCTGCTTTATACGGTTTATATGGTTCATACTTTATTTTAGTTCAGTGGTTCCCTTCCAAAGTGCCACAAAATGAATCAGAGGGGTCATGAGATTTATGGGAGAGAAAAGAAGAAAGGGCAGCATGGTTGTACAATGGTTAGCACTATTACCTCACAGCAAGAAGGTTATGGGTTCAAACCTGTTGGCCTGAAGACCCTGCAAAGGATTAGCGGTTATGGATGTGAAGAAGAAAAAGCTAAGGCCTGTATACACAAATTCTCTTTTGGTCTTGTGTGAAATATTTAATAATTTGACTACTTTGGGCTTCTTATAATTATTTAAATGAAACCATGTGAGAAGTTTAGAGGGAGGACTTGGTGGAAGTGCTAACAACTCATAGATGTCTTAAACAAAAGGATCTGTCAGAGGCCACAAGGCAGAAAGGTCAGGAACCTTTAGGTTTCAACAATATATTTCATACGCTTATCATGTGTGTTTTTATGTAAATGTAGTGGAGTAGAAGTGTAAAGTAACAGAAAATGGAAATACTTGCGTAAAGTACAAAACCTCAATTGTACTGAAGTACAGTACTTCAGTAATGTGTGTAGTTACTTTACATCACTGCAACTTGACTATTATTTTCATATATTAGGACACATGATTGTGTATTATTTATTAGCTACACATGCCCTGGACTCTGGATATGTATTTTTAAAACCTATATAAGTAAATCTATCATGCCTTTATTTTTGTTTCCAATTCATCACGTGTAATCATAATAAATTTTGAAACTAAGACACTGAACATTTAAAAGTTTCTAATCATTAATGTCACTATTAAGACTGTTCAAATGGAAGAAATATAGGCTTTTAATGTGTTCAATTATAAAATTATGCACAATAAATCCCAAATTTTAAAAAGGATCATTAAATTAGCCAATATGAACTAACAAAATGGAATAACAATTTTAAAAAGTAGTTTCAGTTTAACTAATTTATTGTGTGATTACATTTACTAATAAGCCTGTTTATGATATTTCATTTCACCGTTCATTTGTGTTAGCATTTACATTATGTGACTGCTTTAATTTGAAGACAGCTCTATTTAATTTAAAGATGTGTAAGCAGTGTACCACAAGATAATTTAATCAAATCAAACCCACAGCAGTAGTGAAAGCTCTAGAGTACTGTGCAGGTAGATATTTGCTTTTGTGTGAAAGAAATCATGATTGTGGAAGGTGCTTTCTCTCAAAGCATCAACTAGACTGGCACATTTGATGTTAGATTTAATGTCTGCCATGCTGTGGTATGACTCCACAGGCTGTGGATGCAGTTGGGGAGATCCTGTTGTCTCTCAGCTATTTACCGACAGCAGAGCGCCTCACAGTGGTTGTGGCCAAGTGCAAGAACCTGGTGTGGACCAATGGCAAAAACACTGCAGGTCAGAAGCATTTGTTTGTTGTAGTGTGTTTTTGTGTATTATTTGTAAGTGTGTGTGAATGGGAGCTACCTACTAGTGTGTGACTGTTTCTCTTTGTATGAACTACATATGAATTTGTCTGTCCTTGTCTGTCGGCCCTTGAATCTGTCACCATTTTTCAAAATCATATCCCGCAACAGAACACAGTACTGCCTGACTCAGTAATAACAGACTCTTAATGTCAACTCCCAGAAAATAAATGTATCCTCATACGGAAAGGCAAATGCAACTTAAATGACTTGTTGTCACACTAACATTGGACCGATAAAGGTCACGTACTGAAACACTGTCATTTTCATCCACAGAGCTAATTGTGTTTATTGCATGCTCTACAGACTGTGTGTGGGGATATTTATGTTTGGAAACATGTAGCTGGGGTAGTCATAATGTTATTGACTGATTCTCGTTATCAGATCCGTTTGTCAAAGTGTATCTCCTGCAAGATGGCAGGAAGATCAGCAAGAAGAAGACTTCCACCAAAAGGGACGACACGAACCCCATCTTCAATGAAGCCATGATCTTCTCTGTGCCGTCTATTGTCCTGCAGGTGACACTTAAGACTGTGCGAAAACAGAATAATAAATCAGGATTGCCAATAGTAACTCTAACAGTACTTAAATAACTAAAGAAACAAAATGAACATGTGTAGTTACATGCAGACAGGTATGCACATGCGACAACATATCAAGCGGACTGTATGGAGTTCACAATAATTTCTATAATGAACATGCTGACGTTAAGCAGGTATAATCTTTACCATGTTCACCATCTTAGTTTAACATGTAGCAAGCTGACAGCTGCTAATTTTTACTAAACAAAAAACACAGCTGCAGCTGATTAGAATGTCATTAGATTTGCATGAATTCATTCATAAACCTGGACAAATTAAAATTTTGACCTGATGGAGATGCTGAAGCTAGAGGAAAAGTAATCAGATCACCAAAGTTATTGCAACATATCCTTAGGGGAATGTATGTTCCACATTTTATGGCAATCCATCCAATAGTTGTCAAAACATTTCCCTCATAACCACAAATGTAGAGCTCATGGTGACTCTACAGGAAAAGTCAGAGGATCACTGAAGTCCTTAGGATTCATCCTCTGGTGTCCATGAACGTCTGCACAAAATTCATGGCATCGTCCAATGGTGAATATTTTCTGCCTTCAGGAGTGGTGGACTGATCAGTCTATAAACATTTTTAAAGCCCAAGGATGTAATTTCTCTTACACTTCTGTTTGTTGACAAAATGAGCAAAACAGTGGTAAAATTAAATGTGAGTAAAAGGTGCTGAGCTTAAAATGCCAAAAACAATAAAAATAGCAATTGTTGTTGTTACACGTGTTTAACTGATTCCATAAAGATATGGATAAACCATGCTGTCAAGATGTTGCTGCGTCATGCTTACACAGCAGGTTGTGTAACCATGCTGTACTGTTTGCAGGAACTCTCCCTGAGGGTGACGGTGGCAGAGACCACAGACGACGGCCGGGGCGAGAACCTGGGTCACGTGATCATCGGACCCGAGGCCAGTGGGATGGGGATCACCCACTGGAACCAGATGTTGGCCACTCTGAGGAAGCCCGTGTCCATGTGGCACCCTCTGCGGAGGATCTAGTCCTCTCTGCACTCATACATACTCGACCTCTTTCAAGTAAAACACTAGCTTCTTCACGTTCCTTTCACCTCTCCCCTTATTTGGTGTGTGCTATGTGTCACTCTGCTGGTGAGTAACAAATAGGAGGAAACACATTATCTCCATGTAAGAGGGAGGAATCTTAAAAAGCCAGTGTTTAACCTTGAACAGGGTATCCACTTAAATCCTTTCTTTGGTGTTTAGCCTCATTCTTGCTCGGGTGCATTATGGGTGAGGGTGGCATTCAGGAAGGAACAGTGCAAATCCCAAATTACCCAAATTACAAACTAAAAGTAACTGATGAGTTTTCAAATGGTGTGCGTCCTACATCCTTACCATGTCCCTTTTATCTTGGGAATTGGGCTGAATCCTGATTCTCCACTACAACAGCATCAAAGGAGACATGAATATGTGGATACTTGACCAGAAATTTAAGTTTTCAGTGAGTTTATAATTAACAAAATGAGCCCAGCTGTGGCAGGTGTGACCCCCTCCCTGCATGGTGCCTACTCTGGTTGTAGCCCGTTAAAGCTGTGTAGAGAATGAATGACTGGACGGAGGGGTGAAATCGCTTCTCTTTCAGGAAAACACTCATTTGTCTTTTCAATCTAGTCATTGATTGCGCCTACTTGACTGATTTCGTAGCGGTTTTAGAGCCAAGTTGAGTTAGCTCTATTGGATTTGCTTGTGTAATTTGTTAACAGTGAGACTGACAAATAAAAGAGGTTTTGGTTTATTCAGTATTTATTGTGCTTTTAAAAAATATCCAGGTACTCTTATCCAGGTGAAATAATTTGTAGCAGTTGTTACAGGGTGGCCAAATTAGATGTAATTAGCATATAAATATCATATTTGTTCAACATTGTTCTATTTTTACCATGAATAGTGCAATACAAGTTGCATACGCATATTTAACAGTGTAAATAGTGTACTACAACATTCTTCTCATTCATTGCCATTTTTTCCCCTGGGTGCAAATCATGTTTTTCATAGTATAATACTTCATAATAAGGATCAAACTCCAATTTAATTTCTACTGCACTGTATAACAACAGTACCACTGCTGATCAATTAATTATTATTAAAACACCTCTGGGAATTTAACTTGTGATGTAAGGTATACTAACCCCTTTAAATGGGTTCACAGTTCCTTTTATGTTAAAGGAAACACCTTGATATTCTGATTAATCTGTAGGGTTTTGTTGTTTTGTTTTTTACCAGGCATTTGTCACACTCTTCTTAGCTTTTAAGATACCTGCAAATGAATCTTTTTAGGTTGAAACCAATATGACCCACTTTGCAGCTTGAAGCCTGAATGGTAATATTGTAACAAGTGTTTTGGTTAAAATGAAGATAATGTGACATGGATCTTGTAAAAGTCAGAATGTCAAGGTGGCTTTTTATCTGTCTGAGATATTCTCTACAACATTGTGCAACAGTGCTGTTTTGTTGTAACTTTTGAATGTGAATTATCATGTAAAAAACCTGCTAACTCTAAAAGCATCATCAGCCTAATTGCATCGTTGTGACTTTTGTTTGTTTTTTCAAGCATAAACTACTCTGCATTTTTGGTTCTAACCGCATTCCTCACCTCACTTTGAAAATCAGTCCAAAAATAACACACCTGTGGTCATATAAATACACAATATTTCCTACTGTGCCAAATAATAAAGCAATATTTTCATTTACAATCAGCAATTTGCATTCAACAAAGCTGTAGCCTACATTTGACCATGCATGAAGTTATTTAGCACTTGATGTGAATGTGCCTCAAGAATACAGTGTATTGTGTGAATGCTGTTTGAAATAAAAGCAATTCAACAGTAACAGTCTGACCACTTGTTTATCGTGTTCAAATGTCCTTGAGTTGCTGCCATCTGTGTAGTTCTTCTTGATCTGTGAAAACACTGCCTGTACATTTCAAAAGCTCAAAGTATTAAATCCCTAAAGTAAAACAAACAGAAGGTAGTGTGGAAATGGCATACACTGTCCAGGGGCCCAGGAACCCTAGATATCCAACAGACTCCAGTCTTTGTGTGTCAGCTGATTTGTGCTCATTTAAATTTAATGAGCCAAAAAAAAAAAGGCTTAATATCAATTGATATGACAAAGGCCTTAAGGTGGATCTTGATTTATAATTTGTCTTTAAGATTCCTTGTATCAAATTTTAGTTTTAAGAACTGAATTACTTTTGTTTTGTTCTTATATGATGCATACTAAATTAAGCAAAGGTAAGTTAGTTGTCCAGGATAGAAACTCTATCTGTGAGGAATGGGGTTTTAGGGAGCAGATAGCTCATGTTTGCCCTGGGCTTTCAAGCAGGTTTATTTGAGTTTTTTTTTTTAACACTTTATTAACCACAAAAATATGATCAAGCAGTGAATATTATCAATATCACAAGACAATTATATGCATTATTAGACAAGGCAATACAGAAATGTAAATACTAAGCAGACTGGGACAAATAAAACACAAGTACAGAACAGGTTTATTTGAAATGGCAACATAAACATTTGAGCCTGTGTTAATGTGAGGTGTAGTGTTTTTCACTTTAAGGTGTGTCCACAAGTTTAGTATTATATATAAAGAGAATAAACAAAACTGCAGTGTGGTGCGCTGTGCAGCGCAGTGGCGCTTTCTCTTCGTATCAAAAGTAGGTCAGTTTCCTCCTTTCAGCCAATCAAAAGAGAAGGGGGCCGGAGGGGGCGGGACCATTGAGCAAAGTCCAGGAAGAGTTTTTCAGGCATTGGGAAGGATAGATAACGCTTTTCTCCGCAACGTCTACTGATCAGTGTGTGGTCTAAACGTCCAGTAGCGCTGACCAGTCGAGATGGCTGACAACCGAGATAAAGCTTGCGATCAAATGAAGATATGGAAGGAGCACAGAACTTCTCAGGTCTGTAGATGTCTTGCATTTGAGCAAGTGTTTTGTTCTGCGAAACGCTGCCTGGCTGGTTCGGGGATAAATGGGTGAGAGGTCGTTTGTGGCAGCCAGCTAACGTTAATGTTAACGTTAACAGCCAAAAACTAAAGCTAGCTTATTTTGCGAACTGTCGTTCAACACTGAAGCCTGACTTTGCATGTGTTATTTGTAAATAAAATACTTCCAAGTAGTAGTAGTAGTTGTACTGTTAACTGTTTGTTATAGGACCCTTTATAGTCGCTGTTAATGAAAGGGGCTCATTAGCAAACATGCCAACATTTGTTTGCTAACGCTAGATGCTAACTTTAAACTGGCCCCTGCCTTAAAGAAATCAAATGGGACGTTTCCAGTGATTAAATAAACACGCAAACATCTTTAAAAGCCCGAAGGAGAAGAATTCAGTGTGGGTACGAAGTAGGTCATATCCAGATGCATGAACTTCAACCCTGCTAGTTACATAAGAGCACATAGCTAGTGTCACCTTAAGTAAACCCACTTCATGTTTGTTTGCATTTTGTAACGTTACTTGAATCACTATTTTTTTATTTACGCTGTTTGCGCAGGTGTGCAGATTTCTAGGCAAGTCCAAATGTTTTTACTCATGTACAGCTGCGAAAATAATGAAGAGGGAACAATTGAATTTTGGTAGTTCATGTCATCTCAGCAAATTAATTTGGTGGACCCAGTTTTATAGTTTTAGCACGTTTGGTGCAAGGCATCAGTGCCAAGCCATTTGCAGAAATGTGCATGCAGTTACCTGCTTTCATAACCTAATTTCAGGCAGTCCACTCATCTGTTATGCAAACCTGTTGTCTCAGTGCCAAGTAGGAAGGGATTTTTAAGCATTAGCGTAAATTAGTTGGTTGATATTCTGTTTCTGCAAAAACAAGATCATATGAAGATGATTGCTTGGGCTCTCGGACCATCTAGTCATTTTCACTAAACAATTAAGCAATTTTATAAAAAAAAATAATCAACAGATCTTTTCTTAGCTTAATAATTAACGTAACATACATATATCTTGCATAAGTGAGGGTGTTTATTTTCTGTAACATGAATTCTGTTTGCAACAGAGGCCAGACACTCTGACCACAGGGGCTGGCCATCCTGTTGGAGATAAGCTGAACCTGCAGACTGCAGGACCGAGGGGTCCTCTGCTGGTCCAGGATGTGGTGTTCACGGATGAGATGGCCCACTTTGACCGGGAACGAATCCCAGAGAGAGTGGTGCATGCAAAAGGGGCAGGTGAGTGTTGGTTAGTAACCAGTCTCTTCTGTGTGGTGGATTCTGTGTCACCTCTATGTTGGCTTTATCAGGATGATATTACAGAGGTGCTACTGGAGAATTTTATATTTCTTAAAACTGAGAAATGTCGTATGATAAAATACCTGAGTGTTAATATGGATACCAAAACAATACCAAAACCATAAACGTGTGGGGGGGTTTTGTTGTTGTTTTTTTAAACCTTATTTTTAATCTAACAAAAGAAGTCAAGCTTGTGAAATAGACTAAGAATCTGACCGGACCTTTGATGTCAAATATGTGTGTTCTGATACAAATATGTGAACCACATTTTTATTTTTCCTCCATGACGCAGGGGCGTTTGGCTACTTTGAGGTGACTCATGACATCACTCGCTACTGCAAGGCCAAGGTGTTTGAGCATGTCGGCAAGACTACACCTATTGCTGTCCGCTTCTCCACTGTGGGTAAGAATAACCGTGTGTGATTCATACCATCACTGTTCCATTTAGATTAGCTTAGATTCACCACCTTTATTGCCATTATGCAGAGTACAACTACAGAGCTAATGAAATGCATTATGGATATTCTCTCTAAGATATCAAAAATATGTAGAATTTTTTTTATGGACATGTTTTTTCCCCCTAGATTTAACATCCTCACACATTGTCATGTTTCCTGCTGCTAATGTATTCTGCAGACATAGAATAAGCTTATAGAAAGACAAAGAGAAAAATTGGGAGAAACACAAATTAGCTTTTCTGCTAGTCCCTAAAGTCGCTGCAACATTTGTTTTAACCTCAATGTAGGTTGTCTTCACCCACACACACCGAGCGCCACACACCTCTCCACATAACAGTAATAACAAAGTAATAAAGTGCAGAGAGTGTCCTTACAGTTACTTTCTCTCAATCTCTGGCTATTTAAAAGGCGTTTTTGTTCAGTATACCCCCTCTTGCGCGAGCAATGATGATGCAGGGAATAGTGACAATTCTCTGACGAATCAGTAGTCTGCAGTATTTTTACATCACCTTTTGGTATTGCTTTAGCTTGTTATGAACCTCGGTGGAGGTGATGCCAAAAAACTTACCAGTTACCAAATTTTCCCAATGTAAAACCAAAGAAGGAGAGTCAGGTCGAGGTGAGTTGAGCTGGTACCATCCAGTTGAAAGGGGACTTTTTTGTCAATAAGGCAGATTCTGTTCTGCCTAAGGTGGTGTGTTCACTTCAGGTCTATCTGTTTAATGTTCTTTCTGTCATTGTTCTGCCCAATAAAAACGGTTTCTTTTAAATATACACAAATATAGACCATCTTAGTAGAATACACTTTTACAAGATAGTGTAGTAGTGCAGTTTATTTCAGATTAGTTCTCAAAGATATTATTTGTATCAGCTCTAAATTTTTTTTATATATATTTGAATAAAAGGACATCTGTAGTTGAACTACAACCTAATTTTATGGTTGTTGGTTGTTTGAAACTGGCACCACACTGGTTATCTCTCTTCAACAGGTGGGTTGTGCCCCGAGTATTTTAGTTTGGCACACTCATTGGCTCAGATGTTTTTTAAGATTAGTAGTTGTATCAAAAGGTGCAATGTGCCAATTACACTTACTGCTACACAACTACAAAGACCACGCCTTCTCCTCCAACTCAGACTTAGAAGTGTTTGCTTTAGCTGATCTGGTGGATGAAGATTCATTTGAATAAATGTTCTTTAGAGCTGCAACGAAAAGTTATTTTCAAAATTTATTATTTTCAGTTGTTTTCAGTGGATCGGCTAAATGCTTAATCGACTAATCATTGAAGCTCTAATTCAAAACAGTTGCTTGATTAATGATTGAATGATTAAAATTTGCATTTTATTTCAGCTGGCGAATCAGGATCAGCTGACACAGTGCGAGACCCCCGAGGCTTTGCAGTCAAGTTTTACACTGAGGAGGGCAACTGGGACCTGACGGGAAACAACACTCCCATTTTCTTCATCAGGGACGCCCTGCTGGTGAGTGGGTATAGTTGGTGTAGGAGCCAGAATTGGATTGGCATTAAATTATTACTGGAGGGCCACATGTTATTAAATAACATAATATTAAATCACTTAAACATGCAAATAAATGTGGCAACAGTTTGTGGAACTAGTTTCTCCAGTGGGCCCTATTTGATTCAAGATTCAAAGTGTTTATTGTCGGATGTTCAAATTTCCCTTTACACTGAAATTCTTACATTGCTGCCCACATTAAATTTCTACAATAAAATATATGTATAAATAAAAATACAATAAAAAATACGATCGACATATAAAAACTATTAACAAATATATACACTTCGTCGTCATGCAGGCAGACAAATTAAACAGTTGTGCAACTGATGAATTATATACATGTGAAAATTGTGCATGACGCAATGTGCAATAATAGTGCATTTAACATGTGTTGGTACAGTATAAAGATGGGCATGATTATGGAGTCCACACACCTATTAACTGTTAAGGAGTCTGATGGCAGTGGGGTAGAAGGAGTTCAGTCTTGTAGTCCTACATTTCACACTTCTGTACCTCCGACCCGAGGGTAGAAGTGTAAAAAGTTTGTGTTGGGGTTGGGTGGTATCCTTGATAATGGAGGCAGCTCTCCTGTGGACTCTTTGATGCTCTGCAGGGCGGGTAGT